CTGAGGGAACTCTCTGTGTCCCCTCTGTCCCAAGGTGTTTGCTCCCTGGTCCTGGTCGTGCTGAGCCTGTGGCCCAGCAGTGTGTTGGCCCTGGGCCCACCGCCTGGACCCCCGAGAATACCCCCAGACCCTCGAGCAGAGGTGGACAACATCGTCCTCATGACCCGAGCCCTGCTGGTGGACGCTCGACAGCTGGTGGCGCAGTTGGTAAGGGCTGGGAATCGTGGGTCAGGAGGGGGCAGAGGGGACAGAGGAGACAGGCCAGGGCAGGAGGTCGGGGCCAAGGTGGAAGGGGCAGACCTGAGACCTGGTGACAATGATGTGAAGCCACACATGGGACCCCCAGAGAGAGAGGCTGAGCCTGGGTGTGGCCGAGACGCCACCCAGAGAGCTGGTGGGGGTGGAGGTCGGAGTCTTTGAGGGGCTGACACCCAGGGACGCCAGCACAGGGGCTCTGGGAGGGAAACTGAGGCAGAAAGAGCAGCAGGGGACGAGAGCCAACCGGGAGATGTGAGGCTGGCGATGAAAGGGGAGGGATGAACAGAGAGAGCTCCGAGCTGGGCAGGGGGGCGGTGGCCAGGTCCCCCTTACATCTGTTTTCTCACCAGAGGGACAAATTCCCAGCCGCCGGGGACCACAGCCTGGACACCCTGCCCACCTTGGCCATGCGTGCCAGCACGCTGGGAGCCCTGCAGGTAAGGGTGGGGTCAGAGTTGGAAGTGACCCTGGACATTGGGCGGGAAGGGCCTCGGGGGCCACTTGTCTCTACCACTTGTCCCCTCCGCCCCCAGCTCCCAGGAGTGCTGATGCGGCTGCGGACGGACCTACTGTCCTACCTGCAGCACGTGCAGTGGCTGCGTCGGGCAGGGGCAGGGGTCCCTTCCCTACGGGCACTGGAGCCTGAGCTGGGCAACCTGCAGGTTCGGCTGGACCGCCTGCTGCACCGGCTGCAGCTCCTGGTAAGACCCCAGACCCTGGCACCCTCCCCGGCCCAGGATTCCAGATCCTAAACTCTGGCCCTGAAAAGCCACACTCCATTCCACACTCCACACTCCCGTTCTGAGACACCACCCACCCTGTGACCTCAAGGTCCTTAAGACTTGTGACCCTACACTTGTTATCGCTGGCCCTGCAACCCCCAGCTCTGTAGCCCCAAGGTCTTGTGATCTCATGACCTTAGCCCACGAGATCCCATATCCTACAAAACCTGTGCTGACACTACAGATTCTCAGACCAAAATCCCGAGACCCCATGGACTAGCATCCTACAACCCCGAGATCATAGATTCTAAGACCTGTCCTAGAACTATAGACCCGATGTCTGAAGATCCCCAAACCCAAGACCCAAACCCTTAGGGTCCAGACCCTCTGCCCAGTTTGGAGCCCCTGGCCCCAAGACTCCAGCCCGACCACCCAACCATAGAGACCCCAGATGCCAGCTCTCACCTAGCTTCCAAGATCCTGTTGTTGTTAGTCTGTCCACCCATGGCGACCTTGTGCAGCACAAAACGAAATACTACCTGGTCCAGTGCCACCTTCACACTGGTTCCTATGCTCCAGTCCATCACTGCAGTTACGGTCAGTTCATCTGATGGAGGGACCTCCTCTTTTTCCACTGCCCCTCTACTTTACCAAGCACGATGCCCTTCTCCGGGGACTGGGCTCTGCTGACCACATGTCCAAAGTGTGTAAGACAAAGTCTTGCCATCCTTGCCTCGAAGGAGCACTCTGGTTGTACTTCTTCCAAGACCCTAGCCTTTTCTTGAAGACCCTAACCTCAATCCCCCCACCCCTCCCAAATTCAACCCGCTGGTCTTCTCTCTCTCCGTAGATGGCCCGCCTGGCCTTGCCCCAGCCGTTCCCAGACCCCCCGATGCCCCCACTGGCCCCTCCTGCCTCAGCCTGGGGGGTTGTCAGGGCGGCCCACGCCGTCCTGGGGGGCCTGCACCTCACGCTGGACTGGGGTGTGCGGGGCCTACTGGTGCTGAGGAACCGGCTGTGACCTGGAACCGGAAGTTGCGAGCCTAGAACCGGATGTCGCGACTCGGGAAGCCGGCGTGGCGAGCGCCCTTCAAAGTCACATCTTATTTATTTATTTATTTAGGGGATGGGGGGCGGGGAGGCCGTGTGGCAGCCAAGGGACCATCCACGCCCCACGCCCCCCAACCATCTCCCCCTAGTTAGACCTGGGTGGGGGAAGCATCTGTGCCTTATTTATACTTATTTATTTGAGGAGGTGGGAGGCAGAGGGGCACCTGGCTCCCTAAGGAGGTAGGAACAGAGAGCCTGGAATCTTGGGGTGGTGGGGGCCCTAAGGAAGTGGGCATAGAATTCCAGGATTCTTGGGTCTCTAGGAAGCCCGGCCCCTGTGTCCCCTCCCACTGGCTCCCACTCCTTGAGCCCTGCGCAGTAACTATTATTTATTATACACGGACTTTGTTGTTGTTGAGATGGGAGCGACAGGGCCTGAGTTTTTGTATTGGGGCGGGGGGAATGAGATGCCTTTGCAAGATGATCAAATTAAATTTGTCATATTCTACCTGTCTGAAGTGATGTATCCCTTGGAACTGGGATGCTGGGTGCTGAATGCCGGAGTGGGGCAGGCGGTGTGTTAAATGCACAAAGCTGGGGAAAGGGGGCTTTGGTGGTTGGAGAGGCTGTGCACTCTCAAACTCGCTCTAAACTCACTGCTTTCAAGTCACTTCTGATGCACAGCGACCCTGTAGGACAGGTTAGAGCTGCCCCTGGGGGCTCCTGAGACTGTCCATCCTTCCAGAATCGGACAACCTCCTCTGTCTCCTCTGGAGCAGCTGGTGGGTTCAAACTGCGGACCTTGCAGTGAGCAGGCCAACAGTCCACTCTGTGGGGAGACAGTGTTGTTTGTTGTTGGGAGGGGCTGTCGAGTCGGTTCTGATGCATCGTGATCCCAGCACAGCAGACAGAAGCACTGCCT